CTTGTTCATTGATTCACACATAAAAATTACATAAGTTTTTAAAAACCCAATTCAACCCCTTCTTGGGTTGCCATCATCTAAGCCAACAAAGAATTCTCTACATCACCAGCACTGAACTCTATAAGCCTACAAGCCCTCTTTGCAGAATAAACCCCATTCCCATTCAAGATCCAAATCCTTCTCCTTCATTAAATTCGCAGGTCCTTAAAACCTCCCATCAAACCCTCTACCAAACAAAGCCATTCTCCACCTAAAATCTCAAACCCACCTTACTCCTAACCAATATCCCAATTGCAAATGCATGCATTCCTTGCAGAAGATAAAGAACATAATTAAACTAGGAAAATCCCACTTTAAAGTTCTCTTACACAACCAACCATTTTCCCAGAAAGGACACTATTTAAAAGTATAAACATTTCTTACCCCTGCTCCCTCCGCACCAGTAGTACCAATCAAAATGATATCCCTCCACACCCTCGATTGAAATATATGTTTATCAAACATAACTAAAGGTATCAAATCATCAAATCAAATTATAAAACAAGATAATACCAACATAAAAGATACAATACATTTTGCAATGAATGTACACATTTGTGTCCTCTTTCATCAAAATAAAGCTTCCTTCACAAAGCTAACTAATTTCCCCAAACTGAGACAAGACTGCATACATAAGTTTCTGCAGAGCAAATATACCAAGACACACCTACATTTATAACCTCTGCAAAAATGGGAATATCATCAATGTGTTGTGTACCAACGTTGTATGACACCAGATCCTTCTCATGATTACACTTCACAAGAATATCATCATCCTTCCAAAACAGCAATGGTGTTCTAGCAATTGGAAACAACCTTACCGTTGTTAATTGAGTCCAAACTCCATTAACTCCAGATTCATTCCTCACCCATACCTTCAACAATTTCTCTTCAAAAGCTGACCAGGGACACCGCACAAGGGAAAGGGATCCTTTCAGAATGTGCAGACCACTAATGTAAAAACCAGGAGACTGGAAATCGTCCGGCATTGATATCTTCTGGAAGACCTCATTGCTCATATCAAATGAAACAATAATCTCAGAATCGTTCTCCTCCTCGTCCGAGTC